GTAACGAGACCGTAGCATTTTCCTCTACCAAATTCCAAAATTGATTTCGGTTATTAAATTATCTAAGGAGAAACAACTAGTTATGGATGAAATGTGCACAACGTGAAACTTAGTACTAGCAAGTTTGGATAATTATGTCTATTGTACAGACAAAAGTATAGAAACAAAATTGAAACTGAATTATGTGACATTTTTTGTTGAAATGAGACATGTGTTATGTAAAATTTAGTGCCATGGTCTATGTACCAAAATTAAAAATCTTTTGCAGTTGGGAAAAAATTGAGCCCACCAGCGCCATATTGGTCCATACATTTTCGATGCCAATTAACATAAAAAAAACAAACATATGAAGTTACAGAGATTTGTTTCGAAAAATGTAATGTTAGAATAAATTCATTACATTAAAGGTAGATCTATCGATTAGACATATGATATAGCACATAAGAATAGCTTGGTAGAACCGATTGCAGTCTAGCTTAGTTGGCGAGCCAGGATCAACTAGGGTGGTGGGGTTGGAAGTAGTTTAATTTGTCGTAAGAGTAGCTTGGTGTATGAGTTACTCGACATATAAGAGGCGAGTTAGTTGCTCGTCATAAGAGTAGCTCGGTGCAGAAGTTGCTCGACATTAAAGAGGCGGATTCGTAGATCGTCAAAAGAGTAGCTCGGCATAGGAGTTGCTCAATACATAAGAGGTTGGTTAATAGCTCGTCATAAGAGTAGCTCATGTATTATATGGCTCGACAGGCTCAGAGCCCCGTCAATCGGTGAGCTCAGTGCAGTTTAGTAAAGAGGTGGTATAGCAGGTAATGGACTTGTAGGGGAGTCTTAGAACCAGGGGTCGAGCTATAAAGAGCGGTTATATGAGGTGGTCCACACGGGATACGTGTAAAGTCAGGATAAAATAATAAAAAATAAAAATAAAATAAATGACCTGACGAAGGAAGAACAAAGCACAGTGACGAAGCTAATAACTGTATATAAATAGGTAGAACGGAGAAGAATGTAAGGTTAATCACTCTATACACTATACTATTCCATACAACTTTCCATAGCCCTTTACAAACTTGATCGTCGAAATGTTTAACGCTGGGAATACCTCCTGGTGTCTTTGCAAATGTCAATGGAGCAAGCGGTCGAGTATCAGTAGAAGACCAGTTCGAGGTGCAAGAACACATCAACAGACATAATTGTTATAATCGAAATTTATATTTTAAAAATCAATTTAAACTAGCAGAAGTATGCATTTTTGTTCAAAGTGTTAGACGTTTCGTATAAATATATACTTTTATTCAAAAAGTATAACAAATCGACGTGCTAACCCTTGTCCAACCTGAATTTGTGTAATTGATTATGTTTTTGTTTTTTATACCTTCAAAGTTCTTATTAAGCAAGATAAAAGTACTAAAAGGAGCCATTAGTAAGGATTATTATTTTGAAACCTCTCTACTTTTCATAAGAGAAGAAAAAATTGCTAATAAGTAACCTATTCAAACAATTAGTGGTATCTATACGATCTTTAGTCAAAAGCACTCCATTATTTTCAAAAATGTATGGTAGAGCAACAGTAGCTGTAAAGTATTACAATATCATATAATTAACAAGAGAATATTTTCTTTTCTTCTTTTCTGATTGGTTTTCTTTAGAAAAATGACTAATGAAATCCCTCAATCTATTAATTCATAATGTGCTGAGCTACATGACAAGCTCGCACGTTTCGAGATTTTATGTGCCAAAATTACATGTTTCATTATTAGGCTTGAGTAGATTTTAATTTACTTCCAAACCAAAAATAATTAAGTCCGAATTATCTATAAATATGTTGATTATCTATAGTCATGTTACGTGTATTACTTGCATTTTAATATCATTTCTTATTATAACCGTTAAATAATAAATTTATTTTAAAAGTAAATAATTTTATATTTTTATCAGTTTTACACATATAATATATCAAATTAATCTCTTAATGAATATATAATAATTTATTTTTTTTGTAAGAAAGTAAATAAAATTTAAAACAAAATTTCTCATTAATTTTAAAATTTAAGAATAATTTTTTAACAGTACCTATGTAATCTAGTTAAATATTAATGTTAAATGTAACGTTTCATTTGACATTTAAGGAGATAATGAGCGGGCATTAAATAATTACTACATACAAGGTATCATGATTATTCGCTTTATGTGTGTGCTGGTAAAAATACTTAAAACATGAGATTTGAAAACAAAATTTCAACTCATAAA